AATCTGCCACATGAGAAGCACGCAAAGAGAAAAAGCTTCCTTTGTTAGAGAGTCGCTTACGTAAACTCCGTCCAAATAGCTCAGTTTTTGTATGATTTCTCATGCAAAGCATGGAAAAGATGTTAACGAGGCGGCGGAGTTTGGGAATAAGTCAAAGTTGGCAGAGTGGTGAAGCATAATTGGTATAAAAATTGTCATATTGTGGCAAGTCCTTATCACTTTTATTACCATAAATATAGCATTTCAAATTTAAAAAATACAAATCATGCTAAAATTAATATCCACCCTGGACCACTTTTCCAATAATTTGTTCGAAGCCTTCTCCTATACCTCTTAATGTATCCAATTTGATACCATTACAATTCATTAATAAGTGAAAGCTATTGATTCAAAATACCTAAATAGACATATTTTTCTCTTATGAATTTATTTAATAATATATAAAATTGATAGAAAAAGATGGATACACCTAACTAGTTGACCATCATAGCCACTTGTTAGTCATGCCTAATTGACAAGTGGTCGTCGGATCTAGGACACATGGCCTCAATAGATTGCATGTGGTTAAATGCTCGATCATTCGATCCTATGACAAACATAGTCATCGTGACATGAGCTTCTGGAGTGGCCAACATTATACCATGCTCTTACGTAAAACGTTGCAGGATCTCCTCTTACACTCGACGATCTCCGACGTAATAGTTCCTGAACCACCTATAAAAGGGATATTAAGGTACACATTCTATCTATTGACTTCTTTGAGCTCACTAACTAGTCTGATCGGTTCAACTAGATTTAAAATTTTTTTGACTTTAAGAATTAACTTGATTATCGAAGAGGCATCAGTTGGGAATGCTTTCAACTCAATTTTGCAAGGTTGACACATTATTATAGAACCTGAAACAATTCTAGAATGAGTCTCAATTGGATCAGATTCATCTCTCCAACTCGGACAACTAGACTTTGACTTAATAGATCAACGCTAGAAGGAGAGCCTCGTACTTGGGTCGCCTCTCTTCCTCCACCCTGAGCTGCTTGACCATCCTCTCTATGATCTGCTGAAGGTTGCCATTCTCCACGTGAAGGGCTACCAACTCTCTGTTGGCCTTTAGCAACTCTTCATTTAGACGTTGGCGGTCGACCCTCACCTCGCTAGTGAACCAAAGGGTAGAATCCAACCAACTCACTAAATCTACTGAGTGATGATGTTCCGTTGCCAACTCCTACTCCAAGTCCATATTTTGGACTTGAAGGCATTCAGCCTTGTCGACAATGGAATCTTTCTCTCGAGCTCTCTTTCAAAATTATCCCTTTCCATCATCACCCAGGTTAGGGTTGTCGATGAGTCCCTGACCTAATCCAAGAAGATAACCAATAAATGATCTCCTTATAAAATAAAACATGTGGTCAGGATGAGATAAAAGTATGAAGAAGGTTGGACGTGTTATCGATAATTATCATAACTAAGGACTTATGGGCATCGATAATGAGATCCTCAATAGGCCTTATGCACAACCCCTTAACTAGACCTTGGAATAGCACGTTGCAATTCCAGATGACAACCACTCGGGGAATTTCATAGGGTTGACCTGTGTCCGTGGTGACCAGGTCGATAGAAGGAAACCCCTCTCTCCTCTTTGGCTAGGTGGTCACTACTTCACATTAGAAGGAAGCCTGAACAATAGGTTAGATTTTATATAGATTGACTAGGGTTGCTCTCTCCCAAGCACAGGGATGGGATAGAGGTTGGTTGGTCGCCCGATGCAGTAATCGAGCGATAATGCCCCTCTTGACTCTAAGTTGTCCTAGGAGCTATCTTGAGCTCGAGAGGACAAAGGACCTTTGGACCCCCTTTGGCACTAACTTGGCAATGGCAGAGCAGTGACAATAGGACATTTGTTGAGGTGCACCTCAACAATAGCCATTTGGTCCTGACTATTCATTGTTGGATGAGCCACTTTGCATACTTTCAGAAGAGGCTCATCCCTCTTTTGACTTTGGGCTATTGACTCGATCCTCTTGGTCATAAGAGGTTTGTTGGTCATCCTCTTTCTCACTCGACATTGGGGGGCATCATATGCCTCAACAATGTAAAACACATTACCATGGAGATGCATTTCTGTTTGATGAAGACTCATTAGTTTAAATACTGCTTACAATAGCAATCACTAGAGGAAAGATTCAGATGCTAACCTTGAGGAGAGGGCTGATACTAACTTCCCTGAGCCAGATCTTGCTTATCTATAAGATGGTCATGGATTCAAACAAAGCGATCAACAATTGGCATTATTTCTCTTGATTTGACCTATTAAGTCTTGGAATCAAGTTTTGAATCTTTCTAATGAACCACGTTAAGTCGACAAGCCACTCTCTTCATAAAGAAATAAAAAAAAGTATATCTTCTACTAACCTTTATTGGAAGAAGGTGCTCTTGGGACTTAGACAACTGAGATGATAATAAAGAAAATAAGTTGAATCTTGAGACTTACAGTAAAGCAAGCTGACAACAAGGATTTCCTCAAGCTTTCAGCACTCCTTAACTAAGGTAGCCAAGTAGTACTAAGTGTTTAGTATCACTTAGGTAAAAGATATTTTCCAAATATTCAAGATTATAATGAAAAAGGAATAAAGGGGGAATCTTAACGACTCATATGATCGATCGCCAGGGCAAGGAGTGATCAGCTTAAACTCGGAGGGAATGTTAAAAGCCTCCCTAATGTGCATCAAGTTAGCCTTAGAAAACCAAGAATCAAAGTCATATGACCTCGACATGATTTACGAGGTCCGATCACCTAAGAGTCTCGCCTCTAGCGAGGCAACCTCCCTCGTTATGATGACTCTAACCCCTTCAATGGAGAGGAAAGAAATGGAAGCCAACACCAAAGTCGGTGACGGGATTTGAGAACCATCCAACTTGCAATCGAACGTTGGAGATGAGCCTGATGAGGATGTCATTCAGACATGCTCAAACTTTGAAATGAGTAGTTCGTAAGTGAAGTAAGACCTGAAACTTTGGACAAGTCTAAAGGTCAAAGGGCTCCAAGAATGTTTGAAATCATGAAGGGTTCTAATATCCTAGAGGGCTATTTATAATGCCTGAGTGACCTTTCGCTTGATTGCCCCACTAATTGATGTTTCGACTGATAGGACATGTGACACTATGCTATTGACTAGGGACGATTGATAGAAATTATCATGATCATTCAAATCCTCGATGACACATGCAACCCATACATAGATACTCATGCGTACACCACGCAGGTGGTGTGATAGTCGAAATGACAGATTCGACTAGATTTATTAGGAAATCAAACTGACACATCTACCAAGGATCGAGATAGGGTCAATACATGCAGGCTTACATGTCAAAGTCTTATGAGTTGAGAAGGTGATGCATCCGTCAAGGGTTTGAACGCCCACATCAAGCCTTGAGCCGACTGAATAAGTGACCAAGGGTTAGGCCTCCTGACCCAATGACTGATTGTCTATTCATATGACCTATATCTCGACTAACTAAATGCCTGATTGCATAGCCCACAACCAACTAATTGAACACATGACCACACAATCAATGCCTCGACTAACCAAATAATGACGCATAGCCCATGGGTCAAGTGTGCATTTCAACAATGCATAGCCCATATGCCAAGTGTGCACTTCCATGATGCACAACCCATAAGCCAAGTAGGCATTTTGTTGATGTATAGCCCATTGGCCAAGTGAGCATTTCGATGACGCACAACCTACGAGTCAACTACACACTCCGACAACATGCAACTCGATAGCTTAAACGTGCATCTCCTGAAATCTACTTTGCACTACTGGCCAACTGGATGTCTCCAAAACTAACGACCCACCATTCAAACAAAAGATCAAGATCAAAGCACTCTGGGGATTGATGGCTCTGCGAACTAGTAGCAATGAAGAGGGGGCTAGTGATAGGGAAAGGCTGATATGACAAACGCATAAGCTCAAACGTGGCTTATAAATTGGCCATTCTAGCCATTTGTTAGTCACACCTAGTTAATAAGTGATTGTCGAATCCAAGGACATGTGGCCTCAGTAGATCGCACATGATCGAATGCTCAACCATCTAATTGTCTGACCCAGTGAAAAATGTAATCAGATGATGTGAGCTTTTGGAGTGGCAAACATCATGCCACATCGTTGCCTAAAATATCACACAATCTCCTCTCACACCCTACAATCTCAAACATTACTATTACTGATTCACTTATAGGGATCTCAAGGTATGCATTATACACGTTAACTTATTCAAGCTCACTAGCAAATCCGATCAATTCGACTAGATTCGAATTTTTTGACTTTGAGATTTGAATTGATTATCGAAGTGATATCAATTCGGAATACCCCCGACTTAGTTTTGTAGAGTTGGCACACTGTTGTAAAATTCGAGACAACTCCAAAACGAGTATAAGTTGGATTCGATACACTTCTCCAACTCCAATAATTGGATTTAATTTAAAGAAACTAAATAGTTATTTAATTTAAATTAAATAATTTTAATAAGCCCATGATAATTATCACATGGTGACGTGTAAGTATAATCTTTATCCACGGAGATTTAATACTATTGTTGACCAAACTTACCTCATCTTAAAATAATCACTTCGTGTAGAACGAGCAAGACACTACACACCGCATGGTTTGTGCGTGCATCATTGTCGTTATCATGACCACGATTTCATGAAATTGATATCACGATTTTTTAAGCTTTTTTTTTTCTTTTTTTGCAGGTAAACGACGAGGAAATATATTTATTGGCAACGTCCCACCTCATTCGCTGACATCAGCCGCTGCGCCAGCACGATAAACTATTGAGGAAGGCTTGTCGTGTTTCTCTTCGAAACATGAAGTCCTCTTCGTGGAAGGCTCGCCCGCGGGATTACAGGGCGACGCAGTCACCCCTGAGAACCAGCAGGTATGATGTCACCTCTCACGTCCATGAGTCCGCTCATCAGCCACATGATCGACCACATCGCCCTTGCTTTTGTCATGCGTGAGTCAGTCGAACTGAATGGTTGGTTACTTCGTCCGTCCGTCCTCGCCCTACCTATCTCTAAGTCCCACACGGTCCTCATGTCTCTCCTATGCTCTCCGTCGTGCTTCGTCCATGGCAGACCAGCTTCTCTCCACAGTAACCCACCACGGCTCCCTGCCGGAGACCTACGTCCGTCCGGAGTCGCAAAGGCCTCACCTAAATGAAGTCCTCCGCGACGCCGACGTCCCCACCATCGATCTCGGCTCAACGGACTTGTCGCAGACCGTAGCGCAAGTCGCCGACGCCTGCAGCACCTACGGCTTCTTTCAGGTGCATGTCCAGCTTCTGCAACCTGGGACAAACCTACTGCTGCGTGCTTCAACTGTTCCTTGCTGTATATGTGTGTGTGCAGGTGGTGAACCATGGAGTGCCGATCGAGTTGATGCTGAAGATGATGGCGGTGGCTTTGGAGTTCTTTCGCCTCCCTTCCGAAGAGAAGGCGAAGCTCTACTCCGATGACCCTGCCAAGAAGATGAGGCTGTCGACGAGCTTCAACGTCCGGAAGGAGAAGTTCCGCAACTGGAGGGACTATCTCCGGCTCCATTGTTATCCTCTCGAGGAGTTCGTGCCTGGTTGGCCTTCCAATCCCTCTTCATTTAAGTAAGTCTTCTCCCAATTTTTTCTCTTCAGGAAAGTCCAAGAATATACATATTATACATATATATATTCCTCTTCCTCTTTCTTCTTCTCCTTGCATCTCTTAGGGGTTGATTCCAGCTCCATATCTGTGGCATATGATTCATCAATAGCAAGGAAAGGATAAGATAATCCTGGAGACCTGCTTCTTTTAGCCGATCGTCATATTGGGATAGGAATCTTGACATGTAAGCCACCACCAAAATCTCCTGAGATTTTGATAGAGTCCAATTGTTTTTTGATGTGATGAGCTTAGAAGCATAGAAAAATGTGGAACTGGTCCACTGAATGGAATCTTCTTTCACCTAAAGAAGATTCCAATGTTTCTTTTTTCTTTTCCTTTTGATCGGTACAACATGCAGAAATTTCAAAGATTAATTTCAACTCTCTTAAGGAGAAAAAGAAAAGAAAATGCCAATAATGATCAACCAGATTATATGACTTCACCCGAAGCAACACAGTTCATTTTGTACTGTTATGTTGTCAGGGAAGTGGTCAGCAGTTACTGCAGGGAAGTCCGTCAACTGGGGTTTCGACTCCTCGGACTAATATCGATCGGCCTGGGACTGGAGGAGGACTACATGGCGACGGTGCTCGGCGAGCAAGAGCAGCATATGGCCGTAAACTACTACCCAAAGTGCCCGGCGCCGGAGCTCACGTACGGTTTGCAGGCGCACACCGACCCGAACGCCCTCACTCTCCTTCTTCAGGACCCAGACGTGGCCGGGCTTCAGGTTCGTAAGGACGGCAAGTGGATCGCTGTCAATCCCCAACCCAACGCATTCGTCGTCAACATTGGTGACCAGCTTCAGGTATCGGCATATACTTCTGCTGCTGATTGTTTCTGGAGTTGTTTGCATAGGTTATGCAATCATCAAGTCTTGCCGTCCCGAAAAGCTGATGAAACATGGTCGACATGGATTACGTCGATGCATGCAGGCACTGAGTAATGGAAGATACCGGAGCGTTTGGCATCGGGCTGTGGTCAACGCGGACAAAGAGAGGATATCGGTGGCGTCGTTCCTTTGTCCCTGCAACAATGCCATCATCAGCCCTCCGGAGAAGCTCGTCGCCGACGGATCTCCGGCCATGTACAGGAGCTACACCTACGACGAGTACTACAAGAAGTTCTGGAGCAGAAACCTGGATGACGAGCACTGCTTGCAGCTCTTCAGAAGCTAATGCCTAATGCTGCTGCCCGTGGCATGCAACAGGATGAGTGCTCTACGTGGCAACCTTGCTGATGTGGACATCTCGGATTGGTCAAAAGTGGGACGATTTCATGACATGTCTCGGCAGCGTTTCGGCTTTTGTGTAGTAAGACAAATAATGTTTGACCGTATTTTGACTTCAATAAACTAAAACATTGCAAGGGAATAATAAATCGGTGAAATAATTATACAAGATTCTAAAATATTTCGTAGGTTATTTTAAGCTGTGTTAATCAAATTATATTATATTAACTTATTGGGCCAAAATGGGCCGATCAATCTCCGTTGCGTTCTTGTGAGCCCCAGCCACGTCGGCGAGACGTTTAGAGATCAGATGCGACGCGATCCGCCTCCACCCACCGCCATCTCTTCTTCCCTCGCGCCGGGCGCTCTCTCACGCCACCATGGCGACGGCTTCTCTCTCCCTCGCTCCGCCTCCTCCTGCCCATTCCTGTCGCCGCCTGTGCTCCTCTTTCGTCCCTCGCTTCCCTTCTCCCTCCCCCTCTCCCCGCCCGTCCCTCTGCTCCCGGCGTCCGCTCCCTGCCGTGCGGGCCATGGCGCCCCCCAAGCCGTCGGGGAAATCCAAGAAGGGTGCGCGGCGTTTCGGGCGATGACACCTCGTTTGCTTTCGTATCGCTGTCTTCTTCGGCTTTTGATCCGTGCCTTGTTCCTTCGTCTCGGCTTTCTTGCAGTGGTGGGCATCGTGAAGCTGGCATTGGAGGCGGGCAAGGCGACGCCCGCGCCGCCGGTGGGGCCCGCCCTGGGTTCCAAGGGCGTTAACATCATGGCCTTCTGCAAGGAGTACAACGCCAGGACCGCCGACAAGGCCGGCTACGTGATCCCCGTTGAAATCACCGTCTTCGACGTGAGCTCTCCCCACATTATGTTCTTCCCGGTTTAGCTTTTACTGGTGATGTGAACCTTAATTGGTCGATTATTGCGCCCGTTTTATTTGTTTGGATATGATCAAAGAACGATCTTGCTCTGCTAGATTGGGTGATTGAATGGAACAAATCTCTGATATCTCTGTTGACAGGATAAGAGCTTTACCTTTATTTTGAAGACTCCACCGGCATCAGTTCTGCTTCTCAAGGCTGCAGGTGACCAAGTTTTCTGATTAATTTTCAGCTTCAGTGCTTGTTCATTAGTTAAATTTTCTAATCACTTCATTGGATCGTGTCAATGAGTAAAATCTTCAGTTTTACTAGTTATCCAAAGAAAGTGAATGATGCCAACCACAACAAGGTTTCCTCCTCTTTATCTTGTGCAATTAATTCTGATCTCTAGTTCATATTAAAGCATGTTTAGAAAGCAAATGCTTGTTTACAGCCCAGCTATTATACAATATATTAAGTACAAGCTTTGACATTCTAAGTTGCTCGAGTAGCATGGTGGTAGCTTAAGTAAATTGGTCGCATTTGCTAAATTCACCAGTGCCCTGATGTGATATTTGTTTTGATTATGAATTTATGATGTGTAATATTGGTTTTATCAGCTTTAGGACACAATGATTTGTTCCTCTTCCTACTTCTGATCCTATGGCTATTTATTAGTTGTTTGATGCTCTTGTTTTCTCTATTAATCTGTTGATATTGCCACATTGTTCATAGGGGAAATTTTGGCACTATATTAAGAATGCTACATAGCTATAGCTCTAAGATTTATGTTTTTATCCTTCATTCTATGATCTTGTAATAGTCTGATTTTTTGTACATATTGTGATGTTCTTCGTATTGATAATCATACTATATGATCAGTATTATATTACAATTTGTGTTAAGTAATAGCTAAACCTTGAAATTGTTTGGGTTAGATTGAGATGGGATTAACAAGAACACATGCTTAACTTCAACTTGACCCAGCCTGTTCTTAGGTCAAGATTTTTTGACCGGACCCAACTTTACAAACTAGTGGATCAGGCCGAATGGGGTCAATATGAGTTAAGTTGAGTTGGACTAGTGGGTCAAGGCATGTTTTACCTTTTCTTTTGCAAAAGAACTGGGTTGTGCTAGGTCAGATTGATTCAGACATCAGGAAATGATATGCTTGATCGGAACCTAATCAAATCTACTAGCGATTCAAGAACTATTGACGTAGACCCAACTCATGAACTTCATGGGTCATCTCAAACAAGTCATGTGGTTGGATTGATCCAATAGGATTGGGTAAATTATTCCCACCCCTATCTTCAACTTCTGATTGAATAAACTGTTATACTGACCTATAGCTAGACCACATATTGAAGGTGCCTTTTAAAACACTAGTCAAATACTACTCTATTACTAATGCAAACTTTTCTTATTTTGTTCTGTATTAATTTAGTCACTTGAGGGTGGGCCTCGGTACAATGGTAAAGTTGTTCCTTTGCGATTTGAAAAACCCGGATTTAAGTCATGGAAATAACATCTTTAAGTATTTAAAGGTAAGGCTGTGTACATTGACCCACACCAGACAATGCGGGAGCCTCGTATACTGGATATGCCCTTTTTATTAATCTACTCACTTATAAAGCAATCTTTTAAGTACAGGTCTGATTCCAGTTTTGAAAACTTATCAAACTGCACCATCTGAACTAATGTGGTGGTAAGATATTGAGCAATATACCAACCTCTTTTATCACTGAAAAAATAATAAGAAAATGAATGGTACATCGAGCAATCTTTGAAGTACAGGTCTGATTCCAGTTTTAAAAACTTATCAAACTGCACCTGTTGAACTGGTGTGGTGCTAAGATGTTGAGCAGTATACTGACCTCTTTTATCACTAAAAAAATAAAAAGAAAATGAATGGTACATCGAGCAATACTGTGTTGCAAGGACCATTGCGTTTGCTTGGTTGGACAGCAAATATTGCTCAGTGTATAACCATCCAACTAGTATTTTAAACCATGCCTGCAACAATATCAAAATCCATTAACAGAACATGAAAAGGCTGTATTTGCCAATTATATGGTAAGCTGTATGGAGTTCAATTAGGTTGGAGTTTGAGAATTATCTTTCGGTATTAGCTGCAAACACTTGAACTGGATTTATCTAAGAAAGTACACTTTCAGTCAGTTTTGTTGTCTGGCTGTAGGTCTTTTAGTACTGGAATTATGAAAAAGGAGAAACTATATGTCAAGTTAAAACTAGCAGTAAAGGGAAGCTGCACAAGAATTATAAGTTTAGAACAGCTGGGTTAACAAGGTAGGAATGACTCTTACTAGATTGATCTCAATTAACTTATTTCGACCTTAGTTCATATTCACATATCAACAGCAACTTTTCTCTTTTGGTCATCCACAAGGATGAAGTTTGGAATGAGGAGGAATTGAATTTTGCCACTAAGCTCTGTTGCTGTGGACCTTAGCAGCTGTCATGCCAGTATGGTGGGTATTAACAAATCAAAGACCAAGGAAAACCACATGGTCAACACTCAAACATATTCAGTGGATCATGAATTTATCAGCAGCAATAGGTATGGTTAGTTTAGGAAACCCACATAGGAACTATCACATGGTATGGAATGCATGCATGAACAACAAAGATTCTAATAGAGTGCTTGATCGCAGTTTGCAGTTGACATCGAAGACATGCTTATTCATCTGCCTGTTATTTTTGGAGGGGATTTCTAATCCATGTCATCTTTTTTAATGCACAGGAGTTGAGAAAGGTTCCAAAGAACCAAAACAGGAGAAGGTGGGGAAGGTAACCATTGAGCAGCTGCGCGCAATAGCAACAGAGAAATTACCAGACCTGAACTGCACCAGTATCGAGTCTGCCATGAGAATCATCGCAGGCACTGCAGCTAATATGGGCATCGTCGTCGATCCACCAGTCCTGGAGCCCAAGAAGAAGGCAGTTGTCTAACATTTCTAGTATTCTTTCACAATCTGCATCGGCAGATCAAAATTTCAGTTTTGTTTTGGACATCCTATTCAATTCTAAGATTCAATTTCCATCATGCATCTCCTGCTGATTGTGTTTACGTAAGATTCATGATGTTGCCACGGCACAGGACGCCGAAGCTTTTTCATGTTGTGGTATAAACTTCTCTGGATTTGGTACTGTTATTTACTAGGAGATTGGTGCGATGAATAGATAGGTTCAGCATTGAAATAATTCTCCGGAATTGATACTGTTATTTACTAGGTAATAGTGGGAAAATGGAATTATGAGAGAGATCTTCTCGATTAGTCCCACAAAAATCAAAAGTGATTAGTTCACTACTCATCCCACATTATGACCATGAATTAGTTCATTACTATATATATATATATATATATATATATATTCACAGCAAAAAAATGTTCAGATCCAATCAGATGAGTTATTCCCAAATCAAAGTTCTAAAGCTCGATCATACAGTTCAGTACAAGCCAGGAACATGGGTCCCTTCAAAAACAAATATCAAAACATTCAGTTGGATATGGGTAAAAGACCATTCAATTGTAATTTTTTATATCGAGCAATATAATTTGACATACTGCTCAGTAAACTGGTAGTGCACCAATACAGTATATTATTGAAACTGATGCTGGATCGAGATTTCGATACTTATTAAAAAAAGAGGCATAAATGCCTGAAAAATCGATCATAGTGCAAATCTGTCACTGTATACAATGGCCAACAGATGCCACACCACAAACGTCAATAACCAAAATACAAATATATTGCTTTACATCTCATGCAAAATGTCTGTTCATCTCATGAGAGAGGGCTTCCGGCAGGCGTTGATCATGGAGTTCCAGCCTGGAAGATGAAATCATCATAGCTAACATTGTTGAAGTGAGACTCCAAAAAATATCTGAAGAAATTAAAGAAGTTTACCATCGTCGATCATTTTGCATCACAGTGGAGAAGGATACACTTCAAAACCTGCAACTACAAAAAATATTTCACAAAATGTCTCATATTTACAGTAATATGAGATTATAGTTCCCAATGGAATGCTTGAGCCTTGGACATGATATATACAGTGATCTTCCCCTGCAAATTTGGAATCAAAATCATGAGGTCAAGTATTGTGATGTGAGCTTCTACGCTTTGAATGCTATGTGACATTAAAGTAACTTGTACCGAAATACCACTGGGGGCATCCATTGGTTAATCAGACTCCAGTTATCCATCTCTATTCACTTGTTAGCGATGAAGGCTTGGATGGGAAGAGTTTCTGCCACATGCACATGATACCCTAGAAAAAGGGTCACTTAAAAGAAAGATGAATTTTCATGTTCGATTATGATATAAATGTTACTGAAGTCTTACTGCAACACAAGGATTAAAAACTCATACCTTCACGCTAATAACTATAAAACACAAATTGACTTGCCCCACTATTTGATACATGTCATGCTTGCAGATACAAACATTTTTCATGTGTTTGAGTTTTTTACTTCTAGCTGCAGGAAAATAGCAAACTCAAACATTGCCACATGCAAGCTTCTTTCTTAAGGTTTATAATTCATGATGTCTCTTGAAGCATTGCGTCTCATTTTTTGTCTTGTTTGTTACTCATCCTGTTTATCAGCTTCAAACCTAAATATTCTGTCACTTCTGCAGCTCTTATAATTCATCATTCTTGTAAGTAATAAATTTGTACACAGCTACTACAAGATAAGAATGGTGACATGTACATCAAACCACATGAAGCCTTTTCAAATGTGCAATTGACACTTGTTGACCACTATGAAAATTGTACACGAGGTGCACTGTTGGGGTGTTCAATCTTGGACATAGTATCCTTTCTCAGCCATGAGTATCAGGTTCTGCCCCCTTGAGGATGCAAGAATCACAAGATTATTTTGTTTGAGTTTCTCATATTGTCGACCAGTGGCAACCGAACTCAACCTTTTTATATTGACTAAATTTCAGTTGGGTAAACCTAAAGTGCACAAAGCTACAAACAATGAAAGAATTTTGTTCTTTTGCAGCATCTTGGTCACTATTCACATCAAGACTGATATGCCATAAGGAATCACAAATATGTGCCTAGTCTGACATCATGTGTTTATGCCCCTAATCTCACATAATACCTCCTGTTGGAAGTACTTCGTAAAATAAAATAGTACCACAAGCATATGAAGATCCATCAATAATGATACCAGGCACTTTTAAAAGCAGTGCCTGATGAAGTTCCAATCAAAACTTTCTTACCTTTTCTTGAGCTAATTCTGTTAGAGCACTAATATATTGGGTGAGAAGCTGAATCCTACAGGAAGGGTGCAATAATGATGTCCCCTGCAAATCATCTGATGGATAAGCTTGTGATATTGACAAAAGTGCTGGAATATGGCTGCCCATACTCTCTGCACCATTGATTTAACTGGTCCCTTTTTGACTGGACTCACAACTAGGTCCCTTGATTTAACTGGACTCAACCCTTTTTGATCATCCTCACTTTGCAATTTGGAATCCTAGTTGTAGAATTATCATACAAGGCTTCAAAGAAGACAACCAAGTCTCCATAGACATGAAATTAGCATGAACAGGAACGTAGTCTTGTTCAATGAATTCAAATGAGTCTGCAACAGGATACAGTTATACCATATGGGGTACTACAATTGGAGTGCTAGGGGTTGGAAGGTGGGATTGGATAATGGTACATTATAATCAGAAATTGAGGTAGAAATCTTGGGTGAGATCTTAAAGTTAATATGTTAAAACACCAGGATTTCATTGAAGGGTGAGATTTAGATTGATTTTTGACATGTTTGACATTAATTCCAACGAATTCCTATATCAAACTGGAATTGGAGGAGAATTTGGAAGGTGGGATTGGGCACTGCTCCTGTTATTATGGTAGATTGAGTGTGGAAAGTCTTTGGTGAGATCTTAAGGGTGTATTTAAAATCTCAGGATTTTATAGGAAATCTGTGTGAGATCTCCATACCAAATGGGTCATAAAAGAACAGACAAAGTGGACCAGCTTGGAGACATTTGTGCCACACAGATTGAGACAGTAACTAACATCACAATCAGATCAAAAAAATAAAATGTACAAAAGCCAAGGATGAGGCAAATCTTTATAAAAAGAATAGCAGCTGAAGTGCAACCATATATACTGATTATATAGGCTCATGTAGGCAGTAAAAAGAATGAAAAGTTCTTCCAAACTTGGATAACAAAAGAAATGGAAAAAAGACTCGGCTTCTTGTAGGTAATTGGATGACTGCATTCATCGGTCAAACCTGACATGGAAAAAAATCTTAAGAAAAGGTTTGAACATAAAGTATGTAACGTTTCATAATTTTTGTTGACAAAAAGATAGCACCGTAGAAACGAATCAACCTGAAAAGCAATTTAAAAAGAGGGTCCAAGAGCATGAGAATCTACTGATGTGGGTTTGGGAAGGTCCAATGTACGGTAAATCTTTCACTAAAGCAGTATAAGAATATACTAACAGGATATATCCACCCAAATATTTTAATTACATGATAGTGCATTACAGGAAACACAGGTGATTCCTGAAATAATCAGATCAATATAGAAAAACAGTACCTTTTATGCCTGCATATAATATCATGAACTATTTCATCAAGGCCTTTCATAAACAGCAAAAGATAACAGCAATGCTATGTGCTTTTATAAAGCGTAAGTATGCTCTAGTTCAAAAATTATGCATCTGGCCAATAATTATTGTAATCCTTGAAGCATGATAGCCATGTACAGTAGGTACAAAAGCAGTCTAATTACGTTAAGTTTCAAAAGCCAAGATAAAAAAGGGAAACCCAATGACACAACAGTGATGCAAATGTGTTATTTCATTCTTTCATATGGATAGCTCAAAATGAGCTTCTCCCAAGTAGAGGTATACAAAGAGTATAAATTTAAAAAAATTCCTGAGATGTGACTCGGGACACATCCCTATTAGGACTCTCATATATGAGAATCATCGTATATGGTTGCGGCTAGGAACACAAGTAATCCTTAGAAATTATTATGAATAATCATGACATAGCGCATGACTAATAGGGCATAACACTACGATGCAAATATCATACTTTGTGTATTAGTTGAAGTTTGCATCAGATGAACGTAGTTCAAGACCTAATTCACTCCATTTCTTCAAATAAAACTATCACACTAAGTGAAGTTTTAAAATTGAAGTTTAAGTCTTTAATGACACGTATGAGCACCAAACAACTTATTTTAATAAATGTTTTGTGTCTTAATAATTTTGTTTATTAAAAATTTTTTTTGTGATGGATTGTTAGAGATTTTATTTTAGAAATAGAATCCTCAAATTTTATTTTATTCTATTTATTTACTTGTTTCCATACTTTGTGTCCATTGCTTTTTTTGATTAATTTACACACTTTAACTGGATTTATTTACTATGATTACACATAGCCATTGGATTATTATTTCTCATAGTAGTTACAGACCACCTCTTCTATATAAAGAATAGCTACTGCTTGTAATACTACGTCAACATCTCTATGATCATGCCTGCAATGGAGGTATGCAGGAGGAATACTTGTTTTAAACCTGGGGAATGAATTCAAATACAAACCTCCACGAAGGGGTAGAGTCATTCCTTAGAACAGTTGATAGCAATTCCGAGTGATTTATAAATCTTGTTCTTTTTATTTTTATTAATCAGATCTATTGTTGAGTTTTTACCCCCAATAAATATAACAATGTGAATATGTCAAGCTATTTGTATATCGGAAGCAATATAATCAAACCAACGGAAAAGAAAGGTAACAATCAAGGTAAAGCAACCCACCTCTGTGAATCAGATTGATTTCGCCGAGGATTTTCAATCCTTCAGCCATCTAAGGAGAAACAGGAAATAATTGATCAAATTGTTCATCAATGCAGCAATCCAAAAAATTCCAAATAGATTCTTTGATGAGCTCGAAAGTTGAACGCCTACCAAGCTGCCTCATGAAGTGCCTGGCGACACCCACGGAAACCCTCCCGTGGATCCTGTGACACTGGATATCAGCTGCAAGGTCGCCGCTGGCGCAGTGGTCCAACACAATAAATACCTTGTCTTCCGTCTGGTCAAACCCACCATTGCAAAAGATGGTTCTTATTCGAAATAAGAACAATTCAAGCAAGCGCGTCATCGCTAGAGAAAACAAGAGCCAACCTCGATAGCCTGACAGAGGCGGGTGATATCGGGGTGGGATATGTGGCTCTCCTTGAGGAGGCCGTCGCGGACCTTGCTGTCGACCTGCTTCAAATCGATCTCTTTCACGGCCACCTCGCGCCCGAGCTGCCGCTGCGTGCCCACCACACCACCGCGAAGGACCCGGACCCAATCCTCGGACCCAGGATGTGGTCGCCCACCACTCGCCCCCCCACCCGATCCTCGGGCCCAGGGACCGAGCTCGATTCTCCTTTTGCCTGCTGGTCTCACCTCGAGGAGAAGAAGATGCGAGAGGAAAAGGAGAGGCTTTTGGGCGTTAAAAGAGCGGGCGAGGCCGTGGAGGGCAAACGTGGACGCGTGGGCCCCAATCCCCAACCTTCTCCATAAGGGCTTAATTGTATCTCCTCAGACAGGAAACGCGAATAAACCCCAAAACCAATCGGACGTCACCACGGAAACCCGTCATCTAAGGTGGTCCCACGCGAGATATGAAATCTGTTCCCTGTCTCGAGGAAAACAAGCGAGTGACGCCCCTCCGTTAAGCCTCCGCACTTCGTCTCGACGTGGACTCACCCGTCTGGGATGTTCCGTGGCTCCTCGGATCATGTGGAGCCCCAACACGCAAAGTTGGGCTCCACATGATGCTTCCCAACCAGTGGAAAGGTGAACGAGGCGGGTAGTCAGCAAACGGAAAGAAAAGGACTCGTCGTTGACGCGCCCGCTATGGATCAAACATGGCCGTTGGATTCTACGTTTCGCCATTTTTGATGCAGGACCCCTTGTCACAGTCCAACAACAGCATGATGTGATTAGACGTGTTTCATTAATCAGGAGATAATAATTACTTGTCGAAGCCAAAGTACGTCTTCAAAGACTAATTCGCGGATAATTTCTCTTCCCGCATGGCTTCTCTTTGCTGTGTTAATTTCAACCGTAGAGTTGCTAGAATGATAAGGGAAGGAGGAAGAAGAAGAAATCCCTTCAACCAAGCTGGGATAAGGGAGCCAAATATGTCAGACTTATTTGGCAGAAATATGGAGTGTTGAGAGTTCCCAAAGCCATGTGTGTTGTGTAGGCAGCATTCACAAAGTCCTTCGATGCTTCTTTTCCTTTTTGACTGCATCACAAGAATATATAGACATCGACACTCATTGCTGAAGGCACTTGGAGAAGTGTCTGAATCTGTGTTGATGGAACTTTCTATCTTTCTTTCTTCGTATGTGGACAAAATAGAAACAAGCCGCTTGAAAAGATGACCAACTGTTCATCTACAATCTCATGAACTAGGCTTCAGATCAAGGCTCGTTCTGTTTTTGCTCATGCACTCAACCCAAACAGCACTGGAAGTTCCCTCTCAATCTTGCTGTATCACTGTGTACATGTCACTGCTTTTGTTCTCGTCCATATCACCAAGTATCTTCTTCTTCTTCTTCTTAGTTTTCATTCGCAAGTTTCCACAGCCGTACTAGAAACTGAGAAAGATGCATTATTGAAAGCTTTGTCCAGCTGAGGCAGTGGAATAAAGCACGCCATGGAGAAGTGTGCTTCCACTGCATGCTAAAGAAAGGCAATTACGTACAACGCGGTCCCTTGCAAGCCTCGAGTCCTTCTGTGGACCAGCACACGACTCCCAACCTTTGCATGCCCTCTTTGCATCCTTCTCTTTACCGTCTTTATGTCTTAGAGATAAAACATAAAACCCACATCTCTCTCTCTC